TTCACCAATCTACTCAATTAATCATTTGGCACCACCAAAGCTAGCTATATGGAAATAACCAAGGTCAAACACTATTACATCTAAAATATTATTGGCATGCTTATGCTTGTGTGACAAAGCATGATTTATACATAAGTATTTTATCCTTTTTTTCCTTAATCTTTAATCCTTTAATATTATTTATTTGCTCTACTTCTCATATTATATATATTGAAGCAAGTGCTAATGCTTGATCCCATTCAATAAGAGTATAATCTAAAATAAATGAATTAAAAATTATTGCAACTTCTTCAATTTCACAAGACATAAGATAAGCTTTATTAACTAGTGTACCTTCTGTGAGTATGTGATTGGAAGTCAAAATTTAATTGACTCTATTGACATTCAAATTAAATTTGTAACCTTGCATAAAGTTTTAGTTGATAATAAAATATCATGTGCTTCAAGAATCTAGTGGACATCCTTCACAACCACATGAATGTGTTTTCCTATAGGATCTAAAATTATAAGCTACATCTTTCTTGAGCCTCATAATTTATTAATACTACCATTATAGCTTTAGAGTTGAATAGTCATATTTCCATTAAAATTAAAAAGCTTAGTCTTATATCTTCAAATATGTATATTTGTCGCATTATCAATATAAATATATTGTCGTAATTGAGACAATGATGCAATTATTGTTTTTAAATAAAATGATGCATCTCAAGCTAAAAGAATAATAACAATTCCAGCATTTACAATATTATTGCTATTTATTCTAAGACATTTTGCATCACCTTGCTAATATTCTTTTTCTCCATAAGTCCTACAAGTACTTCTAGACTTATCAATCTTAGGCTTCTATTTTTGTTGTAGGTAGTACTTCTTTAAGACTTATTTTTCTCTTGCATATACTACTAAAGCAAAAAATGGAGAATTAGTCTTCTCTTTTTTTTTGTATCTCCTCGAGGAGAATAGATCATATTGCTTCTTTGATAATCTCTTTTCTTTCCTTCAAGGCAATCGACTAAACAAGTAGATTCCAAGTTTTTGTTACTATAATAAGTATAAGAAATACTATGCTCTATATGCCCATTTCACCACTTGCTTTATTATATTGATTCCTAAGTCAACAATACTGGGTAAGTCACAGCTTTCAACAAAACTAAATAGCCGAGATGATAAGCTCCTAAATGATCACGGGGAAATCACCCAGTCGCATCAGCTAACTGCTCAAGCGTCGAGGCTTGGATGAAGTAGCCACTGGGCTCAGCCAATGCAGATACAATAGCCTCAGTTGTTTGAGTGAGCGCGGTGGTCTTACTGGGGATGTGCAGCCGTGAATAGATAGGTCACATAATCTGGAGAGTTTGGACCTCTTAAACATTCACTTTACTCCTGCAAATTCATTGTCGTCGATGTGAAATCAAAGACTAAAATGGTATTCAAAGAAATGATATTGAAAGGAGTTTGGTGTTCTACCATGTTCGATGTCTTCGATACTAATCTCTATGGCCATATTCCTCCAACTTCGTGTGCTTGGGGAATATAGTGGAGGTCCATCCTCTTAAATCTAATTGCTTCCTATTCAGTACAACTTCGGCTGCAACTTGAAATGTTGCGACATAAACTTTCCCACCTATTTTGTTTTGTATATATTTTATCTGTCTAACTGAAAATGCACAGGGATTAGTTCAGAGTGATGTGGGAGTTGCTCCAGCTTTGTTCGAAACAGCATCTTCGAGAATCGAACATGAGGAGCTGTAGTGTAAGCACTTCTTGGAGCCTTCCAAAGCTAATCAAATTCATAATTCGATGCAAACTCACTCTCGGGCGAAGGGCAAACACAACACGGCAATGTGATTGATCTTGGAAACTCAGCGTGCCAATCAACCAGATAGCATGCCAAAACAGTGATCAGATTATAGGAGAACCTTATCTTTCCGCATCAAAGGAATCTCTGAATTGCTCACATATTCTGGGTAAAAGTTTGGTCAAGTTTCCGTCGACGTCGATGAACCTAATTGGACCCGACAGATTCATTGTCTTTGCTCATTATTTTACGACAAGAAACAAAGTGATGTGGGATGGATAAAAACCATGCAACCAGGACTGTAAAGAAGCATGTCATCATCCTAAATGTTACGGTGGTGGCAAAGTCTTTTTCTTACAACTTACGCATATGTTGGGATGACCAGCTGGAGCATTGGTAAGCGGCTGGGGAATCGCGTGGTAAAACTTGCCCGTGACTCGAATGTGAGGAGTTTTGTGCTTTGAAGTTTACATGGTTTTAGAACAAATTTGTTGATTCCACTGTGGGCTTCTTTCATGATTCATGACTAATTGCATGGAAAATGGAAACTATCAAGGAGGTCCAGGGTAAAGAGGTAATGACCTGATTGCACGCTTCTCTGGAGTAGCCCTCACAGCCACTTGCGCCAATCTTTGCAACATTAACACCATTTTATGAGTTGTACAGCATGTGGCCGACGAAACCGACTGCGGACCTCACAACGAGCGCTCGGACTCGGTGTTTCAGAGTCTGAAACACCTCCTCCGTCGCTACACGTCCCCAATATTTCACTGGAAATTGCAATCACGTATGTACCTTCTCTCCAACTCATTTAAATTGGACTATCAGCATGCGTGCTTCACCTAAGACCAGTAGAATTTGCGTACAAATTAGAGTTCGATTTAGGGTTGAAATTCTTGTTAGGATCTTGGATGCTTTGACATTCCATCATGACGTAGACTTGCCTCATTTTTGGTCACATGAAGCTGGGGATGGGCATGAAAATCATGCTCCTTCTTTGTATTTGGTGCGCTTGTAATCCATTAATGTCATCGTCTCGCCACTCCTTTCAAATTTTCAATTCCACAGTTTATGTTTTTTGTCAGGAGCCACTTACTCCTTTGTCAAGCATTTATTGCCAAAAGGTAGCAGGAGGTTTCTTTCTCGGTGCTTCGATCTCCATGGAGCAGATTTCGTTTTCATGCTTATTTGCAAATTTATTGCTACTAAATTCCGTGATGTTCAAATGATGCAGTCATGAGTGAGGCGACGCGCACGTCCACCTCTTGCATCGTGGAAGTTGCTATTGTAATTAAGTTCGTGTGGACGAAATCCTTCAATAGTGTCAGCAAAGAAAAGTTTCGTAGAGCAAATAAAATTCCTGTCATATTGACGTAGTTTTTTACTTCCTAAACGTTTACATTTGTGACCAGCGTCAACCAGGCTCTCATCTGCCAACTTTCTGAAACTGAATGTTGAGAATGCAGGTAGATGTAAAGAGCCTAAAATTCATTCTGAATTGCAGAAGAGAAGGGAACAACCATCGTTGGCTCGCCTCGAAAACATGACTCTGCCTGAGGTGCTCATCGTTTTAAGTTTTTGGAGTACAATTTAATGTCAGGTTTCTATCAGTAACTTAAATGTTTCAAATTGGGAATCGAATTTGAGTGAAATAGAACACAGATTTTCAAACCTTCGTTCTGCATTATTGACTTGTAAATGATCCATTTGTTTGTGGCAGTTGGTGACAAAATCTTTTAGTGGAAAGGCCACTATCTTCACAGAAGTTAAACATGAGTAGGTACTTGAATTCTTTGGGAATTTGGTGCTTCATATGTAACGCTAGTTCGACATCGTGATGCATACTTGATATATATTTTCACAATTTGCTTACCGTATTAGTTTTTGGGCGACATTGAGGATTCTAGTAGCATTGCAATCGTTTTAGCTCACTCTAAATGAAGACGGTATAACCTTACTTATAAGCAAACCCACTTTCTTGGTCTTTAGACAAATTCGCAGTAAGTCCTCGTAACTGATACTTTGACATTCAACAACGCCACTGAGCCCCTTAATCATATCTACACAATTTTCGTAGCAGACATATTGAGTGGGTGATTTTGCAAAATAGTTTTCACAAAGTGGGCTGAAGGTCTCATTCTTCGTGCTCGCAAAATGTGTCAGGGCCGGTGTGATGAAGAATATGAGACAAAGCACTTGGTAATTCTGACGTTGCAACAGGCATCGAATGATACTTCGTAGGCTTTTTCTGCCACACGGCTGGTGTTGACCAAACCTGCTTGAACTTGAGATGCAGACACTCGAAGGTCTAAACTATGAGGGTATGATGTCTTGGTACCTACCGTGTGCGATTTGTGGCAAGATTCAGAGTTGCAATTAGGCACTGTGAGATTCAGTCTTTACTCGCAATCTACTGACTCCACGATGTGTAGACCCTTCTTTGATTGGAGATCTGGATTTAGTCATACAGTAAATGTATTTTGTCACAGAGCATTTAGTATGCCAATAGGGTCACCAGGTACGATTCTACAGACTCCGGTACGTCCTGAGTCGCACACCTTCAGCACTTCTAAAGCTTCCTATTGACAGTGTGCCAGATGTCCAATCAGCTTATCTTTGGTCCCCACAGTATAACCAGTCAAAGGATATATGGATCCCCAAACTTTTTTCCGAAGGCTTTTGGAGGACAGATGCGTGAAAGGCAGTTTTCATTTCAGCGATCTCTGAAGCTTCTGAAGCGTAGTCATGAGTTATTTGCAGAGCGATAAGATCACGAAGGTGTACAATTCTGAAAATTGCATCATAAAGCGAGGAATACTGTAACACGTACACAGTTAAGACTAGACTTGCAGCGTACACAGCACCAGCTGGTTTCCTTCCATCAGTACTTGCTCTGCCCTGTACGGGCAGATCGAGGATACCTCATGGCCGGACGAGAGAAGCTTTTTTATTTCCTGGCCCATACTACGTCCTGCTGATGATTTATGAGCCTCTGTCATAAGGGCACTGCACACGCAGCCTTCAAATACTCTCCTTACAGCTCCTGAACGGTTGATTAATTTGAAGTCTTTTATATGGAGGACATGCAGTTTATTCTTAGAAACATGAGAAGATTGCAAAGACTCGATGAAACAGGAAGGAGTCGAATGAACATGAAACACATGCGCCATGTCCACATGACCCTCAAAATTTGCGAACAGAACTCTGATTCTGAATTGGGACGTGATCAGCTCATAGCATGTATCATTCATTAAAACCTTCAGATCGCCGTTAAACTGAGAACTTAATGCTGCAGCACACTGCATTCATGACATAAGCAAACAGGAGGGTGAACAAGTAACGGCCTACTAGTCCTTCACAGTTAGGAAGGATCTGACACCAACGAAATAGAACCCAACGGCAATGATCAGAGAGGCACTGAGTCGTTGTGGGAACAATTTCTAAATGGATGTTCACGTTGAATGGGTATAAACATTGCAGGGAGTGTAGAGAATGAGAAAATGATAGGGGGGTTAATAACTCCAAAGATGTGGCTCCCAAGTGTTGGACCCCTCCTCGCCGTCAGTTTCGGTGGCGTGCTCAGAATCAGGAGGGGGGATGCACATTGCATCGCACAAGCTCGTCAACCCGATTGCAAACATATCATCAGAATCAACGTACATTGGCTGCTGTACGCTACAGGAACCAGGAAGGTTATCCCCCGCCACTTGATGTTGAAAATTCTCCATTGAGTGATCCCTACTGCTACTGTAATCCACGTTGTCACGTCTACTTGTGCCGCCAGCCGAGGAGTCCGTAATGATCCTCTGGTTGTTGCCCGTTAAAGTTGCAGGTAAGTGCGGAGCTGAGCTAGAGTCCTCTCTCCTCTGTGGCTGGGCCTGAGTAGACGAACTCTTGCTTCCATTCGGAGACGATTCATAAGGACTTTGGGGAGATGTTCGTGTTCTTAGTGATGTGCTCTTGGACGCTTGCCTTGAGCCATGGCACTGTTCGTAATGCTGATAATCTGCGTCCGGCTTCGATGTGGGAGAGCTGGCGGGTAACTGCGAAGTTGAAGTTAGGAGCTGATCCAAAGATTTGTTTCCCTCACCTCGATGTGTGAAGTTGTTTGCTGCAAGTGTAGCTGCCGCTTGAATGGACTTGTCACTAAGGTCGGCGAGTCTGGGAAGAGAATGCGCTAGCTTGGGGAAGTTGAGAAGCGCTCCGTTTCCCCTTAAAGCCAAAGCTGCTGCATTGAGAAACAACAAGCATTTCATTGTGAAGGACATGATAAGAATCGGAAAACAGTTGAATAGTCGCGAACTTGCCAATATTCAATGTTATGAGAACAATAATGTTTGTGCGCATTGAGATTCAAAGATTAATGAACAGGGAATACCGCAATCATAGGCCCTCGCTGCCATCTCCGCTGTGGCAAAGCTGCCCAACCAGATGCGGGACTTCTTCTTGGGGCGACGAATTTCAGTTACCCAGATGCCCCAGGGCCGTTTCCGCACCCCGCGGTAGATAGGGTGCCGAGTGTCTCCCTCAGCTTTGGCCTTCTTTCGCACTTCCGTCTCTTGTCTCCTCGACGAGGTGGGACTCTCCACGCGTTCGCTAGAATCTTCCTGCTCGTCTGCTCCTGAGTCGGCACCCGCTGCTGCGTTCGTCCCGTCCGGTGATCGCTCATTCCCACCCACATCGGGCCGTTTGACGTCGCCTGGGTCCTCGCAGGCGTCTGACATAGATCGCAGCTACTCGCAGTACCACAGAGCAGCGACTCTTGACGTGTCCCGAACCTTGTAGTTACATGAAGCTCCCGAGCTGCTGATTCCAAACCCCCAAACAAACCACACAATCGGTAATCACATCACTTTTACAGCTTCAGAGAGCCAATTTGGCAGTATGATAACCCTTTCTTGAGGTATCATCCTCCTTTACTATTGGTTACTACATCTGCTTGCCCCACCAGAGTCGAGATCGGAGAGACAGTGTGACCCTCCTTCATGAATAGGATTGGCGACATATAGGAAAAGTAATTGTTGACTTACCTCTTGAGCTGATGACACTGGGTGACGATGAAGACTCGATCGCTATCAAGAAGGGCCCGGGCCCATCGTGAACGACGAAGCTGCTGTCCAGCTTCACGCGTTTGCTCCCATAGCAGGGGATCTTTTTGCTATCTTGAAGCCTCTTCTAAGAATCATGTGAGAATCCAGCTCCTTCGGGCTTCAATTCAATGAAGATGAATCCACAACAAGCTCCGGCTTGAACAACTCCGCTGTGTGTCTGCCAGGCATAGTATCTAGCTCCACGTCAATCCAGAAGACAAAAAATATATATAAAAACCAAAGAACTAATCAATATGGGTCTGTAGGAAGCATGTGGCATCGTCAACTGGGTCATGCCTTCCAGATTTTTCAGATTTTACATTTTGCAATAGCTTGCACTGTCTCTTTCACTTGATCACAACTACAAATATCCTATCGTGAGCAAGTGGAGCTCCTCTAGAAGGGTACCATCCAGAAGGTTCCAGTTCTGGTGACCTCCATCAGGGACCTGTCACTTTCATGTAAGACACTCTTCAATCGTCACTTGTTGGACACAAAAGGAATGTTCAACCTCAGGGAACGTTTTAGTTGTACCAAACTGCTCATATGAAAATCGGAGGGCAAAAAAGAGAGAGGAGACTCGACTTGTATCATGCGCAGGACAACCAAGCTCATGGAAGGCAGCACATTTCATATCACCAGAGAGACGATAGATCAGAACGTCTCAATCAACTTGCGAATTTCAGCCTCCCTAAAAGGCTTTTTCTGGTACGCGATGGGACGCACCTTAAGCAATTTTATCGCTATTCCTGAAGCGAGATTATAAAAGCACAGCCGAGGGCATGGTGAATGCTTTCAGGGGGGCAAAAGAATTAGAGCAAAATAAATAAATAAATAAAATAACTCCCAAATTTATCACTAATACCCAACACCTCTGCAAATTCATGCTTCTTTGTTCCGACCCTACGACTCGGTCGAATTCAAACAAGCTCCTGCATTTCATATCACCAGAGAGTCGATAGATCTCTAGTTGTTCCCTACTTATGAAACCACATTCGCACAGTCCCATGGAGGGTTATTGAGAGCACATTGATGGTTGAGAGATGGCGCACTCCTGAAATTCTGAACGGACACTTCCAGATAAGCTCACAAGAGTGAAACACGAAAGGACCAGAGATTCACGAGCCAGCATTATCTGATTCTTACAGAGATTAGGCTGAACCCGCAACAAGCAATATTACCATTAGGGCTAAACGAGAACGGTTGCTAGATCGGCTTCTCCGTGCGCTCCACTCATACAGCTGCCTCTAATTAAGTCGTGTTGAGCCGTTGCGTCAAAAAATACCCAACGAGTAAGAACACTGATGCACTACGAGCACGACCAGAAATTTAACATTTTGGCTAAAGGTCTCGTTAAGCCGGCCAGTTTTGTGCAGACGTTAGAAAGAAACACACACGACTGTCGTCGAATGTGTCGCGAGCGAAGCAACCTACTTCACCACAGCCATTTCCGACCTACCGACAAGTTGGAAAGCGAGGCCTACTGACCAAGTTGGATGTGGAAATGGCGGTTCATCGTCCCAAGCAAGTTACATGGTTCGTCACTAACCGTAGAATTCCAACACCACATACTACGCATGTTTCTATAATCTTGTAAACCTGCATTGCGGTAGCAAAGCAACAAAGTCAATCGGCATCCAAAAGTTTCAGGAGATGAATTTGCAACACTCTACTAAAAGTGGACAAATATAGTTGACGACATGAGAGTCGAGGTTCTGAAGTCTCATCACTCCTGTAGTAATTAGTAACAAACGGTACACATACTAGCGCAAATAAAATCTCCTGAAGCTCAGATTGAAGGTAGAGATAATTAGAATCTCTGCAGCGAAAGACTCGAACATTATACTCGCAGTACTCAAAGGAAAAATCCACCGACCTCACAAAGAGCGTGAACTTGAATGAGTCTGCGTGTGCAAGAGGGACAATGCGATTTGCAAATACATTGCAAGGCTGCAAACTTTTTCACCACTGTGAAGCTGAAATTGCTACCGAAATCAAGTGCCACCCGACGGTTCTAGTCGTCAGCGAACAAATCATTGCATAATCGCACCCCAGCACGAGCACTTTTGGATGCAAAGCCGCGTCGGTTCAATCACAGTATGGTAGTACCTCGTACTCGTTTGAGGGATCGCCGCGTTACCAATTCCGTGAGGTCTGATTCTGCCCTTCCCTACTCCTGGAAAACCGTAGTACTTACGCGTGAGATTCTACAACCTCAGAAGTTATGACAAACACACCACGGTACTGAAGATTCTGTGTTGGAAATCCACTCGAAACATGAGGAGCCGCTCGAGCTGTCATAGATTGCTGAACACTACTTTCGAACTTCTCTGGACCACTCTGAAGACTTGAGTGACCATGCCGCGGAAGCACATTAGGGTTTATGAGCTAGAAAAGAAGTACTCATAAAGCATGAACTGTGAGGACGAAGTGAGAGAAGGGGCTGTTTGAGGAGAATCGATCGTATTGGGACCCAGGAATGACTGTTGAATCTCCAAGATGGGCGTCACCAAGCAAGTGTCTCTCGCACAAGCATCGATCTCAACTCAGGCGAGAAACCACTTCCAGAGACATTCGACACCTCAAATCTATTCAAGTCTGGTATAATCTTTTGGCTACTCAAGACAAACTTGGTTGCGGGAGCAAAACTTGACCGCGTCCTCTCCTGAGTATGATTGGCCAGATCTAAAGCACCGAGTATAATTCCAAATATTCCTAAAAACAAAGGACAAAACTCTAGGGTTTATCAAGCAGGCTGATCCTTTCGAAGGCACTCCCGGCGGTACTCTAGCTGCGCGGTATGGACGGTAGCTAGTGACTGCATACAGGACGAACTCATGTAGGCACGATTCCCTCGCGAAACAGTGGATGATGAAGGTTATGTCAGGCCTTGCAAAACACGAAGAGAGGTTGTGCATGCCTCGGAGACTGGTATGCTGAAAGTTGGAAATTGGGTCCTCACTCTCATCTTAATGGGTTCCCCCGCAACTGAAGACATTAATGCAGGTGACACAAACTGTCAGATCGAGTTTTTCCCCTTCTGCAGTCAAATAGTCAAATCCAACCATGTCACCGACCACGTAAAATTAAATTATAACCCCCCCTAACCGAACTCCTAACTCTACTCAGAAAGTGCAATCCCAACCTAAAAGGTCAATCTAAATCCTTTACTGTTTCTGTTGAGAAAAAGAACTAGAAAAGCGTCCCTGACGCCTGCAACTGCACCTTCAGGATGATGTCATCTCCCGCAACCAACCGGCAGACACCCCAAACTTCAGCACTGCCGTAGCCTGCACTCCAGTGACTCTCCCTATCTGGCTCCACGTTTGATGCAGATTAGGCAAACCTGACTCTTTCAAGCTCTCGGTGACAACCACAATCCAAAACAAACGACGCCACACAAGTCGACGCCTCTAGCATGCACTCAAACTCTAGCTGTCTAGTAAGCACTGACGGAAACACAAGCTCTTGTTGCAGTTGACTATTATATATATATATATATATATATATATATGTCTAGAGCTTCTGCAGCAAATCAAACTGTGACTCAAGGTTCTACAGGAAAAGCTGCTGCCATTTGGAACTCTTCAAACCAACTGGAGAATTTGTATTAATGAATAGGAATCACCTGCTCCTTGGAAACAATGATATCTTTGTACTTGCATTTGTGGACTTCCTCAACTTTGGCTTTTATTGAAGATACTTCTTAACACTTATTTGCTCCTCTTCAAGTTTATTACACTTAGAGAATTACTACTAATTGATAATAGTTTGCATCCTGTTGTTCACTAGTTGTGTGAGCATGAAAAGTGATGAGTTTGTTTATCCACTGCATGAATTATGTGATTTAACTGAAATGGATTTATTCATTGGATTTATTCTTACATTCAAAATTAATAAACACTTATCAACATAAAAGTAATAACACTTGTTATTTTATGACACATTAACTTATATCAAAAAATTAATTTTCATGTTATTAAACAAAAAATTATACAATAAATATAATCATATGAACTTTAAATAAAATTGATTAAGTTAAATCTCATAATCCATGCAGTTGAGAAACAAAATCATCATGATTCATAAATACACATGTAAAAGATGCAAATAACTCCATGCTTCAAAAAGAACTCCTATCTAAATTAATTTCTATGTATTTGCATTAATTACAGATTGACTACCTAAGACTACAATAACAAATTAGTTGTTTGCAAGGGTTTTGAGCAAGACAACAAAGCAAGAATACACTGAAGAGGAATGATCTTATCAATGGCAGCTTCGATCCTGTAGACGACTGTTCTGAACGACACACTGATACGACAACTCCAGTTTCTGTTACAAAACAAGGTACAGAACAAATGAATTGATGGGGTGCAGTACAATCTCACAGACGTTCCTGTACCGTTACTGCACTGGAACGCTGGAGAGCTGCAGCAGCCTTCTGAATGAGAAACCCTGACTGGTTGCGGTGGCAACTCATCACATCGACGCCTTAACAGACACAACATGCATACACAGGGTTCAAGGACAACGACATCGCTGGATCTGAAAGAACTCCAGACTGCACAAATTCTAGAAAACTCGAAGATGGCGGAACCGGTTCGGCAGAGACTATGACCTCGATGACAACAGTGCAGTATTCGAGCTAAAGCAATGACCACTAAATCCATGCTAGCGATGATGTCAATGATGAAATGGTGGCAGAAAGCCTGGTATATAAAGCTGCAGGAAGCAAGCTAAATTTATCTCATTTGTTCGCGCTGTTTCTAGTCCGGAAGTACATGGAGTTGAAGCCACGTAGCAACCTTTCTCGTTCGAAGACGACTGCAATTTGCTCCTGTTCGTTTGATTTTCTGAAACTTCCACTACCACGTTTATCACAACACGGTGTGGTATGGATTCATTGTAGTCCAGTGAAACTCGAACCCAGAGTTGCAGGCCAGGTGAAATGGCACGGCACGGTGAAGTCTAATCTCCAGTGCCAACGTTCCAGAAAGTAAATTACAGGTTGAGTGTCGATGAGACTTCATGACCAGCTCATCAAAGTTACCAGACAAGACGTAGCATTCTCAGCCTGATCATTATTTTGAAAGCACACCGACTACTGCCATCGGGTTAACCCGGGCCTCGAATTAGTTCAACTTCGGAAAGGTTCTGTCGCATTGCATTCAGGGCATCGATAACTACTTGATTGAATCCGGAAAAAGAATGTTAGGGACCACATAGTGCATAAAAAGCCCTGCAAGTCCGGCTTAGCAGCATGACAACCAGAATCAGAAGGACCCACTCCGCATATGATTGTAGGAAGCTCTGGAAAGAGCGGGTGTTCGTGCGAACAGTCCTAACTGTCGACGGTTATGTAGTGCTTTCACCCAGTGGGCCACAGCCCGGGACTAATGGGCTATTTTTTACTTTTTAGACAGGTCGATGGCGTTCGCCGAAAAGGTGATCAGGAGCCTCGTCTCCTGTTTTATCGCTGATCCCTGGACTCGCCACGGTTTGCCATGATCTCTAAACCACGGTCATGGTTCATCGAACGTGGCCCTATGACCAAATGGATCGTCAGCATTCAACCGCCGTCTAAGAGATTGCCCAGCCGCGCCCCTGAATCAAGGCACTCCAAGCAGGGACAGATTGTCGGTTTCAAGTCTTTAAGGATGCAGCAAGTCTACGTCCTGAAGCCAGCAACTCTCTTGCGGGGTTTCGGTTTTTTAGCTGCAATGAGCTCCAGTTGCATGGTGATTAAATAAAGACAACCCAATCCCAATTCAACACCAATCCAAGCAACACAATACAGGAGAGAATGCATTCATGGCGAGCTGTGCCCAGGTACCAGAGAAAAGGATATGTGTTTCTGTAGAACAAGAGCATGTACTTCACTGGCACAGTAGTACTTGCCAAGACAAGAAGTTGAATTTGTGACCAGCTTGTTCTGAAATGACGTTGACTGCACTATTTCAGAGGAAGCAGTTGAATAAAATTTGAATCCACTCTTTGACACGTTGAAAATGCCAGAGTACACGCAAATTGACAAAATGGAAAAAGTAAACGACAAAAACATATTAAAACGGAGTGATATTTTGTAAGCAAGTGGTGGAGACAGAATTATTGACTGAAAGCCACAGCATGAAAAATCCAACTCTATTTTGTTAGAAGAAATACTTGAGCTCATGACATGAACATATACCATAAATCAAAACGGGGTAAAACAAGAATGGGTAAGTGCCTGACTGTTATGAAGACAGAAACCCGAAAAGTCCTCGGGGGTGTGTGTGTTTGAGAGGGTGTGGATTGGGGGGGGGATCGAAAAAAGAGAGGACTAGAAAGGATTTTTCTTTTACTTTTTGGAAACAGAAATGAAACAGAAAGGAAACAGGAGACAAGTGACGGAGCCCCAAGGGGCCAGTTGTGTCCTGGTCGGAGCGTGCCGCGCTGCGGAAGACGGCATCTCCAAAGCCCCATAATCGCAGGCTTTCTCGGTCCCTTGCCTGAAAACGTGGTAGGGTAAGAGCCGGCTGCGGCGGTGGCTATGCGAGGAATCGTCTGCTAAATGCTGGCCCCCTTCTTTGTCTGCCACCTGTTCATTACAGCCCAATTTTAGAGCTCCTGTCTCCTCTGCTCATGGTAAGGAAAGCACCGCCCAGCAAAGGATAGAAAGCAAAACATAGCAAAGAGATAGCCTTGGTTATGGTGACGGTGGTGGTAATGGTGGTGGTGAACAAAGGCACAACTTGGCTATAGAGCCTCATGGTATATCTCAAAAATACAAACAAGCTTCTAAAATCTCAACTTCTGGGTTGTGTTCTGTACTTTATTGTGCTTGTATCCAAAACTGGTTTTTTTTTGTGCATTCAGTACTTACTCCTTTTGCTTGATGAGGAGTGGAATCATGGCTGTAACAAATACTAAGTAGGGGAAGGTGAAGCTGGCAGGATGGTTCCTTCCCCTGGTGTGTTTTTGTGCCAATGATAGTTGCATGGATAAGTCCATGATTGGGTTAATAATAACAGGAGTAGTAAATTGTTTTCTGACTTTCGTGATATAAATATAGGGTGGATGAAAGACCTGCTTTTCAAAGCAGTCAAGTGGTGTGAAGGCAGCAATATGAATAAGCTGCAGCTTGGGGTTCTCATCCTTGTGCCAACATCCCCCCCCCCTTTGGAGGTCTCAGCAACTTGATGCTAACAGCCCACTCATGCATAAAACTAAAATTAAAATCTAAGAAATAAAAAAAGGGGGAGATAATCTAAATAAAAAAATAAAACAGGGAAAAAAATGTCACAAAGCTCTGCCACTTGCGTAAAATTATTTCATTCTACCTGCAACCACATCACCAACACTGTCCACTTTAAGGACAACAAGTTGAACCCTGATTACGGCCCAATGTCTCATGGATGGCTTTGACACTTGAACTACCTTCCCTCAAAATATGCAACAAAGAAGAAGAGGGAGAAGAAACAGGAGCACCCATGTTGCCTATGTAGTCAGTTCTACACAATGAATACCCTTCACCTTGCCCACAACCTTAATACTAGAACTTCTCCCCAAATCCAATCTTATGATATCACATTGAATTAATAAGAGAGTCCAAACAAAAATGAAAATGCATCGTATTCATGTACCATAGCATGTGTTATACATAACTATATATCATTTGTGCATGTAAAAACTATGGGTGAAGTTTGTGTGGACAACTGCTGTAAAAGCATACACATATTACAAAATCCACTTTTTTTAGTTTTAGTTTTTATTAATTTATATTCAAAATTACAATGAAGCATGGTATGTCACATGTAATGATATTGTACACATAATATCAAAATAAGAATTCGTTTATTTGCATTTCGATTAATATCATTTTTTGAACACATTATTGTTGATTGTAAATTTTGACCCACCAGTGGCAAATCAACAAACACCCACTGCTAATTCACATTAAATAGAGCTTCTTTTTATATACATGCAGATGCACAGAAACATGTATGCTGATGATCACCTTTTAAAACATATAACAGAGCCTTGCAAAAAGTCTATCTTATTTTTCTTCCTTTCAACAGAAATTCTAAAAAGCATCGGATTACATTTGGTCCAACTGTGTAATACTCCCACTTCAAACTCATCCCCCATTTACTGCACTGA